GTGCGTGCGTGCGTGCGTGCGTGCGTGCGTGCGTGCGTGCGTGCGTGCGTGCGTGCGTGCGTGCGTGCGTGCGTGCGTGCGTGCGTGCGTGCGTGCGTGCGTGCGCGTGCGTGCGTGCGTGCGTGCGTGCGTGCGTGCGTGCGTGCGTGCGTGCGTGCGTGCGTGCGTGCGTGCGTGCGTGCGTGCGTGCGTGCGTGCGTGCGTGCGTGCGTGCGTGCGTGCGTGTGTGTGTGTGCGTGTGTGGTGTGTGTGTGCGTGTGTGTGTGTTTTCTCGGCGAGAACCATCGAGGAGCATCCTTGATCATTTGGCGAAAAAGCCACGCACGAAACCGAGCTTTAGCCCTGGCCATCAGAAAGGATTTCGAGCACCAGGAAGGTGCCGAAGCTGGAGGGTCTTCGCGTGTCGGCCCTGGGAGGCGATGCTCGTGCGGCACAGTGTCGATACCTTTCTCGGTTTTCGAAGCTGTTGCTGGGATGTGGTCCTTCAAGTACGATGGGAGCAGCATAACACCAGCACCCAGATCCCCCGAGTGAGGCCAGAGGTCGGGGGCGGAAAAGAGGGGGGTGATGACTAGGGGGGGGTGGATATCATGGCGGGGGCCATGATATCTCCCCAGATTTCATGGCGCCTCTTCTTGTTTCATTACGTCCCTGGCCCCCCCGCTGGGCCGCGCACATGCCGCCCGTCATGATTTACACCCCCCCCTCTTGGACACCCCCCTCTTGGCCGCTCCCGAAGAGAGCAGCGCGAGGTCGGAGGATCGCACCGCCTCGGCGATGCGCCGGCGACGCAGCCCGATCAAGAGGCCGACGCTCTCCCCATCTCCGACGTCGCCGATGCGTCGGCGATGCGGCGCGGTCCTCTGACCCCGCTGGCTCTGGCACGCGTGGGAGGCCTCCGGCACGGGGGGGTGCGGGGAGGAGGCAGCAGGTTTTGTGCTGCATCGTCTGGGGGCGGGGAGGTTCAAGGCAGAGATTTACAGCCGGGGTGCTGGGGGAGGGGCGCCGTGTTCCTTAATTGTTTCGCAGTTTGCCTTAGGTTTTCATTAGGTTTTCGATCTGAAATCGAAGTTTAACTTATGGAAAAAAGGGGCCTCGTTCCTTATTTAGGGTTCCTTAGCTCAACGCCCCGACTGTATGCATCACCACCGCTGGGAGGAGCGATCTTCGCGGACTTCCACGGGCGGTGGACCTTGACAGATTCGGGGCCCCTTGGGCCAAACCCGCGCGGAGATGGACCGCAAAGCGCCCCCTAGATCCCAAGAAGGCTGCACCACGCGGTCCGTCACCGCACGGCCCTGGGGTGAAGTCGGGCATGTCCCTCTACAGGGGGGGAATGTTCAAAAATAGTTTAAAATAGTCTGGGGACGATCTTTCTAGCATGCTTGACTTATTTTTTAATATGAATATGTTTCGGCTATGTCTTTTATTTTTCGTCTTAACTATTTTTGAATATGAATATGTTTCGGTTATTTTTTAGTTTTCGTCCGACATCTGCCTGTAGGGGGACATACCCGACCTAACCCCCCGGGGTCTCGGAGACCCCGAGAGCGTCCGAGACCTCCTCGGAGAACCGCCCGAGTCTCTCGAGACCGTGCGGGGACCCCGAATCCACACACTTTACTGGTCGGCGGGGCGAGAGCGAACCTCCTCCGCTAAAAGCTAGGCGGGCTACGCACAGCTCTAATTAGGGAGACAGGGCACAGGCGGGCGGGGCCTCAGGCGGCCGGAGAGGGCGGGGCCCGGGGTGCAGGCGGTGTCGAGGAGCTTGCACAGGAAAAGGTATTGAATCCACACACACACATACCAAAACATAGACGGGGGCGATGGTTTGACTATGTTTGACGATTTGCTATTGTTTCATTTTCTCCCAAAATACAAGGCCGGAGGGCTCAGAATACAGGCGGTGCCGAAGATCTTGCACAGGACAAGGTACGCCATGGACTGGAGCAGGGGGCGCGGTCCCAGAGGGAGAGTGGACTGGTGCTGCCGTCATCGGCGCGTCAAGAACACCATCCTCGAGTGCTGCGTGGAATCCACATACACACACCAAAAAATAGTGCGGGGGCGATGGTTTGACTATGTTTGACGATTTGTTATTGTTTCATTTTCTCCTGAATCCGCCTGTAGAAGCACACGCCCGACCTAAGACTTTTGTATCCATGTCCACTGCGTCTTGGAGTTTCGGGCTGCCTTCCCCAGAAACCAGGGGCGCACCAGAGACTCATAACATCTTGCCCCTGGAGGCTCGACGTGTAGCCCTACCCACTGCGCCTCGACCTTCTTTGACGCCCCTTCCAGAAAGTCCACGACGCAGTGGATATCGCGCCCGCGCGCTGACTTGCCAAACGGTGTTGGCACCATCCCGCACGGGGCCCCCAGCGAGGCTCCGCCTCCTCGCGAGACGGCATCTTGCTGCCGCACTGGCGTGGGCGTCCGTCAGAGCAGGGCATGGATGGCTCAAGCCTGGCTAGATCAAGTGCGGGTGGGCCTGGTCAAAAAAAAACAATGCTCGGGGGGGCCCGCCCCAGGCGGCTTCTTGCGTGCTCGGTCTTGCCCCCTTGCGCCCCCCTCTAAAGCCTCGCACAAAAAAAAGTTTACTCTTGCCTACTCCCAGTTTCTTAATAGGGGCGCCACCCCCGCCGACAGCCCCACATCGACCCCCGTCGCGGGCAGCCACCGCGCGCCGCAGGCGCTCCGA